ATCTCCCCGGCCCCTAGGATTATAGTTTAACACATGATTGTATGAAACTGCCCACAGTTGAGGTATTTTAATCAGCTTAGCCTCTTTGTGGTTTCTGGGATCAGGTGTCTTCCAAAGTCTAGGTGTGAGGCAAGATTGTGTTTAAAAACCAAGCAAGCAAGCTGGGTGTGGTGTCCCTTGGGACGCCCCCCACCACTCCACAGGGGGGCCCCCCCCCCCCCCCCCCAGGAAGATGAAGGCTGAGGCGGGAAAATCCTGGGGAATTTGATAGACTTTGCTTTGGCTGCCTCAGGATCCCTTCAGGCCAGCTCTGGCAAGGCTTCAGGTTCTGGGGCTCGAACCACAGCATCCTGCAGCTGACTTAGCTAATGGACAGGCCCTCAGATCCTGGGGAATTTGAGACCAGCCTCGGCAGTAAAGTGAGCTCTAGGCCAGTGTGAACTGCTTAGCGAGATCCTGTGTCAAAAGACAGAATGAATGAATGAATGAATGAATGAATGAATGAATGAATGGAATCAAAAGAAAAACAAAACCTCAGGCCCATACTTTAGTATATACTGAACTGCAGCACTTGTTTGATAAGTTTTTCTCTCTTTCTAGGAATATAAGACGTACAAGGAGAACTTTCTGAAGCGCTTCCAGCTCACCAAGCTGCCACCATATTTAATCTTTTGTATCAAGAGATTCACTAAGAACAACTTCTTTGTGGAGAAGAATCCAACTATTGTCAACTTCCCTATTACGTGAGTATCATCCTGTTTCATGCGTGCTTAAGACCCTGGGTTTCTTTTCATATGTTAGTACCATATACCATATTAATTTTGAATTGTCTCAGTTGGTGATTGTGAAGAACAGAACTTCCGGGGGCTTGCCCCTTATCTCAGTTCTTTAAGCGGCTGCTTCAACAAAGCAGTCAGGCTCAGGTTGCTGTGGTTTGATCCCCACAACTCAAGAGAGCCAAATGTGCCCTGAGGTCATTCCGTGCAAAAAAAAAAGAACAGAACTTCCCTGTGCCTCCTAAGATTAGTTTGTTTTGTTTTGTTATGGTACCGGGGATTGAACTCTGGACCTTGCGCTTGCCAGGCAAGTGCTTAATCTACTGAGCTTTCTCCCCAGCCCAAGATTAGGTTTTTCTTGGGAGGATACACCAGGACCCTGAGGGTGGATGTTTACTGGAGACAATCTTCCTTTGTCTTCTCACTGGCTGCTGGGTGCAAATTGTGGTCTCTCAGCATAGGGAGGTGCTGAGGAAAATTGTGTAAGGCATGTAGGCTGGCATGCACCACTGGCCACCCCAGCATTGGGGCCTGCCTGTCTCCCTTCTTGTGCACTTAGCTGGGCACAGAAGTGGGGCAACCCAGAGTCAGCCTTTCACCTTTTTGTTGTTGTTGTGTTTTAAGTACTCAGCCATGGTTGTTACATTGCACATTGTTGTTTTCAGTGTAGTTGCTCAGATTACTGGACAACCCTTCTTCCATTTTAGCACCCATTTCTCCTATTTTTCCCCAGGTTAGTGCCCAGAATGTGTTCTGTTTCTTTCTGTTGGCAGGGAATTTGGAAACTTTGCTATGTGACTGTTTTAATTTGTGATGCAATTAGTTGTGTTTTAATGAGCATTTGTATTTTAATGGTGATGAGTTCCACCAGATGCTTTTAGTTTGTTGCTTTCTAACAGAAACACCCCTTTGGGATTAGATTATTGGTTTTCCCTTTTCAGGAAACAAGGCTTTTCACATTCTGAATATCCTGAGAACATGGAGGATCCTGGGAACGAGGCTGGTGGGGAAAAGTGTGAGTCTCAGTATGGGGGCAATTAGTGAGGTGAGAGGAGAGTGCTAAACAGTGAAAGACTGGGTGAAGAGGATGTGTAGCTCAGTAATCTTTAAATATTGTAACTTTTTAGTCTTTAAGACTTAGTTTTTATGGTTCCAAGGATTGAACCCAAGGGCCCTCTACCAGTGAGCTATATCCCAGCTCTTTTTATTTTTATTTTTAAAAATTTTTAATTTACTTATGTGTGTGTGTGGGGGGGCAGCTCAGCCCACCAGGGGGCGGGCTGGCTGGCATGTGGTGCTGGGGGATTGAACCGCGGTCCCTGTGCTTTGCTAAACTGGTTCTAAGTAGGTGCTTTAGACCACTGAGCCATCTCACCAGCCCCCCTTTTTATTTTTGAGACAGGTCTTGCTACATTGCCCAAGCTGGTCTCTTAAATTGTGTTCCTCCTGCCCCAGCCTCCCAAGTAGCTGAAATTATAGCCATGTACCACAGTGCCTAGCACTTAATCTTTTTATGTCTTTACAAAATAGTTTAGGAGCTGCAATGGACAAGTGCTTATCTTCTTGGGTTTTTTTTTTTTTTTCCATTTTTTTCAGACTGCCAATTTTCTTTGAAGATAATTTCAATTCTCTTATTTTATTATTATTATTTTATGTATTTAGTACAGGGTCTACAGGGTCTCACTATGTAAATTGGACTCGTAGCGATCCTCCTGTTTTCAGCCTGGCAAGCGCTGGGATTACAGGTGCGCACCACCACGCCCAGTTTGAATCGCCTTCTCAAGGGTCCCGGGGGTGGGGTCAGCACAACATGCTGGGTATCAAGCTCCAGCTGCTGCGCTCTGCCTAAGCAGGTGCCTTAGTCTGCTGAGCTATCTGGCTGGCCCGATAGTTTCAGTTCTTAATTCTGTGTAGAGTTTAAAAGAATAGCTAAGTGTCATGGTATGCACACATGTAGTCCTAGTACTTGGGAGGCTGAGGGAAAAAAAATTTGAGTCACACCTGAGTAGCTTAGCAAGACCCTATCTCAAAGTTAAAAGAGCTGGGGATGTAGCTCAATGTACAGATTGTGGGTTTAAGAGACCTGAGTTCTGTGCTACATAGGCAGTGTGGTTCATTTGTCTTTTTTTTTTTTTTTTTTTTACAGAACCAGGGATTGAACTCAGGACCTTGTGCTTCCAAGCAAGCACTTATTCTACTGAGCTCTCTCCAGTCCCCATTTGCCTATTTTTTACATGTGTTCTCTGTATTTTCTCATTGGTGAAATGAGAGAGTTAGTTCAGGGAATCCTAAGGGTGTTTCCATGTCTTAACATTGTATTTTTTCTGGATTTCTTGATCTCTGAAAAATTTGAATAGTGGTGGTAAGAAGAGAAGATTACAGGAAAATGTCTTTTTTCTTTCTTTCTTTCTTTCTTTCTTTCTTTTTTTTTTTTTTGAGACAGGATCTTCCTATGCAGTTCAGGCTGTCCTTGAGCTGAGCTCATTTTGTACATGCTGGTCTTGAACTTGCAACAACCCTTCTGCCTCAGCCTCCCTAGTACTGGGATTACAGTTTTGTGCTGGTTTACAGGAGAATTTTCGTAATCTGAATGATTATGGAAGAATTTCGTTTTCTTTTTCCCACACTTTTTGGTTCTTCACAAATAATTGTGTGACTAGAATGAAAGGGGGGCGCATAGAAGCTGGCTCTCTGCTGCTGTGAATGGGAGCACAGATGCATGTTCCTTGAAATCCCATAGATGGAGTTTTCAGAACTGGCCTTGCGAATTGCTGCTGTCATCCGCCTGTTCCTGGTAGGAAGGTGCATGCTTGACTAGGACTGTGCAAAAGGAGGGGACCGTGGCTTTCTTGTATACTGGGTCTAGGTGTGTTTTATTTTCCCACCAGTTGCATTTACATGTTTGATAACTGTCTTTGATGGTTTTCCCTTCAGAACCCATACTCTTGAGAGATGAAGGAAAAGATTCTTTCATAACTAGTCAGCATTTTAGGGGACCTTGAACTATGATCTGTTCTGGAAACCTGTTTTTTAATTACTGTTTGCTCTGTAATTGCCTTTAGAGTAATATGCTGTACATGGTTTGACTCCCTACTTCTTGAAAAGGACCCTTTTCATGCCCAAGTGTCTCACTTTTCTCTTGTTGCTGGGACAAAATACTCAACACCCAAAATTTAGAAAGGAAAGATTTATTTATTTATTTGTTTGTTTTTTGCAGAACCGGGGATTGAACTCAGATCCTTGTGTTTGCCAGTCAAGCACTTATCCTACTGAGCCATCTCCCCGGCCCCAGGAAAGGTTTATTTAGCTTGGTTTGTGGAGGTTTCAGTCCATACTCAGCTGGCTCCAAGGCAGAGCAGCACATGGCAGAGGGCAGCAGTTCATGGCTATGGAAAACAGCAAACAACAGAGGGAGGAGGAGCAGCAGCTGCAGCAGCTAGCCGGCCTCTTTCCGTCCCTTATACTGGAATTAGGCTCTCTGCTCCAGGCTGGACATAGCACCCACCCCCGTAATCCCAGCATTGGATCATGAATTAATCACAAACTGCAGAAGCCTGTCCCTATGAGACACAAACTGGACACAAACAGTAGCACCAAGTCCTTTCCCATATTTATTCACAACCTACTCCATAAAGAAGTATAGACTTAACAGGTTAAGCGCCCTGTGCTCATTGGAGACAAGGTATTTTGGAGGGCAGCTAACTGACCTTTTTCTAAGTAGGACTGTTGTTCTGATGGAGATTAAGTGTAGTTTGCTTATTTCTCTAAAACAAAACAATGAAAGATGTATTTATTCTCTTTTGCCCCTGGAATAATTTTGGTTCAGTTGTAAAATCTTGAGTATAAATATTCCTGGAGGCTTTCCTGGGACTCATTCACATAGGTCTGGACAGCTGTTCAAGCCAAAGAGAAGGTAACAAGAAAAGACAGCTCTTAGCAGCCTGCAGTCAGCCTATTTAGCTGAAATGGATTTTTATTTGATGGACTGATTGACTGGCTGACTGACTGACTGACTGACTGACTGACTGACTGACTGACTGACTGATTGACTGATTGATTGCTTGATTGTACTGAGGATTGAACCCTGAGCCTTCACACACCTTAGTCCTTTCTATTTTTTATTTTGAGACAGGACTCAAACTTACAGTCCTCCTGCCCCAGTCTCCTAGAGTATTGGGATTATGGGTGTATGTTACCATGCTGGTTTGTGTGGGATTCTTAGGACTCAAATAGGTGGTCTTTCATTGTGAATGCCTGCTGCATTCACTGCATTGTATATGGACACTGTCAGTTGGTAGAAACAAAGAGCTGTCACTGCACTGACACCTAGATCCATAAAATAACTAGAACAAAGGCATATTTGCTTATTACTACACAGCTTACCTTTAAAACTTTTTTTGTACTGGGAATCATACTCAGGACCTTACACTTGGCAGGCAGATACTGTGCCACTGAGCTATATCCCCAGCCCTAAAACTCTATTTTTAATACTAAATATATTCGTGTACTCCAAATGCAACAAGTTGTGTAACTGGACATGACCCCCAGTAGCTGTTTTTTGTTTTTTTTTTTTTTTTCTTTGCGGAACCGGGGATTGAACTCAGGCCCTTGCGCTTGCCAGGGACACGTTTATTCCACTGAGCCATCTCCTTGGCCCCTCAGTAGCTGTTTTTTGTGATTCCTTCTAGACATGACATCCCTATGGCTCATGTTACATGGAGAGCATACCAGACAGCTTTTAGAGGTTAGAAATCGGGTGAATCTCTTTTTTATTTTGTATCATTTATGTTTTTATAGTTGTTTTGTGGGTTCCAAGATGATATGTCTTCCCTAAAATTATGTATTTAACATATTCTCTTAACTACTCATCTATTTCCCTATTTAACTTGAAAGTTCCTAATGATTCTATAACTGCATAGTAAGCATTGTTATAAAACTTGGTAATAACTGCTGTTAAATTATACTTCAGCTGATGGATACAGTTCAGCACATAAAACACAAGATTAGATTTTATTTTAGGTTCATCAAGAATGCTTTTTCAGGGACTGGGGAGATAGCTCAGTGGATTAAGTGCTTGCCTGGCAAGCACAAAGTCTTGAGTTTGATCCCTGGTACCACCAAAAAAAATAATAAATAAATAAATAAAAAACATTTCTTTTCCAAGGGCCAGCCAGATAGCTCAGTAGACCAGGGTTTGATCCCTGGCATGCCGTGTTGGCCCTGCCTCCTGGGGCATGCTGAGACTACAGTTGACACTGGGCGTAGTGGCACATGTCTGTAATCCCAGCACTCAGGAGGCTGAAAACAGGATCTCTCCGAATCTGAGTCTGATATCCATAGTGAGACCCTATAGGCCCTGTACTAAACACATTAAAAAATAATAATAAATAAATCTGGCTGGGTGTGCACACCTATAATCCCAGCACTCAGGAGGCTGAGGCTGGAGGATCACCAGGAGTTCAAGGCTAGCCTGAACTACACAGTGGGGCCCTGTCTCAAAAAACCAAAAAAAAAGGTAAGTCTAGTTGTTGTTTTTTTTTTTTTTTTGCTCCAAATACCTTCAGGGCAGGTTTGGCTGGCTTGAGTTCTGGGGATCGAACCACAGCAACCTGAGCCTGACTGCTTTGTTGAAGCAGCCACTTAAAGAACTGAGCTAAGGGGCAGGCCCCCTATTAAGTCTGTAGTTTTTTTAAGTCCCAGTGGAAGGTGGTTCCAGCTGGCAGCAGTGAAACGTGTATTATGGCCCTATTATGAACTTGCAACTCTGAGGCTGTGTGAGTGTGGTAAGACTGGACAGCGTTGTGGCCTCCCTAACATCTCCGCATTGGCCTAATTTTTGGCTTTGTTTTCATTGTTACCAGAAATGTGGATCTGAGAGAATACTTGTCTGAAGAAGTACAAGCAGTCCACAAGAACACCACCTACGATCTCATCGCCAACATCGTGCATGACGGCAAGCCCTCCGAGGGCTCCTACCGCATTCATGTGCTCCATCACGTGAGTGGCTGCCCATTGTCTTGGGGCACAGAGTAGTGGTGTCTTTTGGTATTTCACAAAGCAGCTCCTTCAGTTTGTCCTTCCTTGGTCTGCTTCAGGACTGAAAGAATTGAGCTGCAAGAGTTCAGTAGAATGGAGTGGTTCTGAGTTTCGGCTGTGCATTGGAAGATTGGGAGTTTTGTGAAGTCCAGCTGCCTAGGTTCCACTCTAAGACACTGCATTGGAATGCAGTTCTCAGCTCAGGCAGAGGCCAGGCATGCTGCTGCAGATCTGGCCTGGACAGTCAACGTTGAGGGTTAGATATTGCTCTGCAGCAGGTTGTCTGCAGTGGGTAGAGTTGTCTGGGGCTTTGACGTTCCCCAGGAAGTCTGTCCTGAGGGCCTCTGTCCTGGCTGGGAGCTGACAGCATGGAGTCCTTGGACTTGCAGCATCAGCAGCGTGAGAACTGCAGACTCTCAGCCGCCCACCCTGCAGAGTCAGGATGTGTGGTTTAAGAAGGCTGTCTGAGTTCTCGGAAAATAGTTCATGAAGCACTGGTATAGAGGTGCTCTTTCAGCTCAAACATTTTGTGAATTTATTTTGAGTTGGAAACAGAAAACATGTACTTGGCATATATTTGGTATCACAGATTTTTAGCACAGATTGTTCTACTTTGATTAATGTCTTCTGGGACAGTGGGCTTAATAATAGCATTGTTTATCAAGTATTTTTCAGTGGGCTAGAAAGTATGCCAAGTGCTTACTGTATGCTATCTCCTTTTTATCCTTAAAACTCATCTCCACCTCAATGTGGTGGTGTGCGTCTATAATCCTAGCACTTGGGAACCAAAGACAGGAGGGTCACCACAAGTTCAAGGCCATCCTGGGTTATGTAGTGAAGCCCTCTCAAAAAGCAAGTCTTGGAGTAACAGCTAAGCCAATTGGGAAGGGACACATCTGTACCTAGGCCCAAGGAGGACGATACATGACCAGACTTCACATGTTAGGCAAATTAATTCCAACTCAGCATTGCAGGTTTGTGTTCCTGGTCCTTACTTTGCTGAGAAGGCTGGTCACTTACCTAGGTGCTGAACAGCTTAGAGTTCCAAAAATCTCTCTCCTGTCTGGAAATTGCATTTTGCACTTCCAAGTGGGGTCATGCAGAAGGATGAGAATAGTCTCTAGCACCCGTGCCCCAACCTGTGGGACCTGTTCTTGTGTTCTTGACCAGAGCTGTAGTGTGAGTTCTTTCTGTAGACTTGAGTCAAGAACTTTCAGTCATCATGATAATACCAAATTGGATATCTAAGGCTGCAAAAAAATAAAATTTTTTTCAGGACAATTGACTGTATCAACAACATGCACATGTGAAGTGAGTGTTCCAGCAGGTTCTTCCAAAACAAGGGCAGGTGGGTGAAGTAACCCCAGAGGTGCTGTGTAAACCCCAGCTTTTACCCTTAAAATCTCAGATTCTGGGAAAACTAGAGAAAATGTAGCAAGGATACCACTCACCAGTAGGAAGTGGCAGGAAAAGAGCAGTGGGGAAAAAGCCTGCTGGCCCATAAACTTAGCACTTGAGAGCACCATACCTCAGCTAGGGTTTACTGATAGCTAATGTGTGATCTGCACCTGTATGCTGAAAGTAGCATTTATTAATAAAGCTGGTAATCTATAAATAATTTTAAAGTACCAAATGTTGATAAAACTTGTGAACTTAAACACTCGTTTGAATTGAATACAGTTTTTTTTTTTTTTTTTTTTTTTTTGAGACAGTCTCTTACTATGCAGTTCAGGCTGGCCTTGAGCTCACTTTGCAGCCCAGCCTGGTCTCAAACTTGGATCGATCATCCGGCGTTAGCCTCCTTAGTGCTGGTATTATAGAGGTGCACCCCCACGCCCAGCTTGAATTGAATGCAATTAACTCTGAAACAAATATTCTGGGATTTTCATGGTTTCCAAATTATAATTTATTTTATTTTTTTTTTAATTTTATTTATGTGGGGGCTGGAGAGATGGCTCAGTGGTCTAAAGCACCTACTTGGAACAAGCTTGGCAAAGCACAGGGACCGCGGTTCAGTCCTCCAGCACCACATGCCAGCCAGCCGTGCCCCCTGGTGGGCTGAGCTGGCCACACACACACACACACACACACACACACACACACACACACACACACTAAATGTTAAAATAAAAAAAATTAAAATAAAAAATAAATTTTATTTATGTGCGTGTGTGTGTGGCCAGCTCAGCCCACCAGGGCGCGGGGCTGGTTGGCATGTGGTGCTGGGGATTGAACTGCGGTCACTGTGCTTTGCTAAGCTTGTTCTAAGTAGGTACTTTAGACCACTGAGCCATCTCACCAGCCCTCCAAATTATAATTTAAATTACCATTCTCCACTTCTAGTGCACCAAGTTTCACACAGGCACAATGACTAAATGCAACTTTTACTGGGAATTGAACTTAAGTCCTTGTGCTTGCCAGGCAAGTGCTTATTTTACTGAGCCATCTCCCCAGCCCTAAATGCAACTTTTATACAGAGGGTCTTTACATGTTTGTAACACATCTGAATTTGAACATAAAGTGTTTGTGTTGAGCTTTTACATTTAGTTAAAACATTTTTTAACAAAAACCCCAAAAAACCCATACCTCCAAGGCAGGTATATCTTTTTATAGGTAAGAAACCTAGACCTATAGGTTGAATATTTATCTGGTCAGTGGAATTAGCATTTGAGTGGGCAGGCCAGATAGGTCAGTGGATTAAAGGGCCTGTTAAGGCAGACTCAGGACCCTGCCAGCCCTGCCTCCAGGGCATGCTGAGCTGAGATTGAAACTGGGTAGCTGGGTAGCGCTTCCCTATAATCCCAGCTCGCTTCTTTGGTGGGACCAGGGATTGAACTCAGGCCCTTGCGCTTGCCAGGGAAGTGCTTATTTCACTGAGCCATCTCCCCGGTCCTCCAGCTCGCTTCTAATCCCAGCATTTGGGAGGCTGAAAACAGGAGGATCTCTATGAGTCAGATCTGTGTAGTGAGACACTGTAGACCCTGTATTCAATATATAAAAATAAAATAAGAATTAGCATTTAAACCTAGGTACTTGTTCCCCTTAGACCAGAAATGAGGCCTTTCCTTTTTTTTTTTTTTTTTTTTTTTTACTGGGGATTGGATTTAGGACCTTGTGTTTGCCAGGCAGGAATTTAAGCTGCTGCTGAGCTATCTCCCTGGCCCCAAGGGTTTTCCTGTGATCCTGAGCTTTTCCTTTTTTTCTCCTTTAGTTGGGGATCAAGCTCAGGGGTTACTGTCCTACTGAGTTGTATCCTCACCCTTCATATTTTAATTTTGAGACAAAGTCTTGCAAAGTTTAGGTTGGCCATGTATTTGTAATCCTGCTTCAGCTTCTTGTAGTAGCTGGGGTTGCAGGCCACCACACCCAGCCTGAGCTTTCCTCATGTGTCCTGTATTTGGAATTCTTGGAATATCTGGAATGTGTGTCTTCTAAAACACCAGTCCCCATCATTTGTTAGAAGTTTGGGTGGGTGAGACGTACAGGCTGCCGAAAGTGCCTTCATCCAGAGCCCTCTTTCTCCCCTTGTTTACGGAAGCATGTAGTGAGACAGTTTGGCTCTATTTGCGTCGCAGGCTTTGCAGAGGAAACAGGTTATTACATTGACGGTGTCCACCGCGGCACTTTTTCTTGCTTGTCGGTGCTGTTTTCTGGGGTCAAGGTATGTGTATGGGGGAGTCTCCACTTTTACATTTTTCCGAGGGGTCAGCTGCTGAGTGTGTCTAGCCTATCATTTCTGGATAGGAAGGTGATGTTTTAGGGGAGAATTAGAGAGCTTTTGAAGTATTTGAGACGCCACTGTATTTCAAGGACTTCAGGCTGCCACGGTAGAAACGCACACAGCTCCTCTGGTTGAGTCATGCTGAGGTCATGCCTCCTTCTCCTGTGACTCTTGGTGGTGAGTGGTTGCTCTGAGTTTGCTTTCTTTTGGCTGCGATTCCTTCCTTCCATACCTTTTCGGTTTTAGGGAGCAAACTAACCTAGCTCTTCATATTTTCTGCAGGGGACTGGCAAATGGTATGAATTGCAAGACCTGCAAGTGACGGACATCCTGCCCCAGATGATCACACTGTCAGAGGCTTACATTCAGGTGGGTGCGGGATTGGGCTAGAACCTTGGCTGGAGGCCCAGGTGCCTGTTGGAAGGTGATGCTGAAGAGTGAGACGGGCAGGTGATGTTGCCCTAAAAGTCAGTCCAATTTTCAGGGAAGAAGAGGAGAGTAGGTAAGCGTGATAGTCTGTGAGGGAGCAGAGGACGCTCCAAGTTCAGGGCAGTTTTGTAGAGCTGTGTGCTCTAGGAGGAAGAGCCTGGCCTGCTGGGGAGGGCGGCTGGCTTGGCTCCGCAGCACTTCCTGGAGCCCCAGCACTTTGTTCGTGTCATCTTTAGAGCACCGTCTGTGATAACTTGGCTGTGTTCTCCACTGTATTGACAGCCTAGATAGCAGAGCCTTCTCCTTTTGTGTCTGTCCTTGCACGTGATGGAAGAAAAAAGAGTTAAACTAAGAAAACAGTAGTTTTTTTGTTTGTTTTAGCAGAACCAGGAATTGAACTCAGGTCCTTGTGTGCTTGCCAAGGAAGCGCTTATTCTACTGAGCCATCTCCCCGGCCCGAAAGCAGTAGTTTTGTAATAGAGAAGAACTGCCTGTTCTCCCAGGGCTATGGTTTCTCTCCTGTCAGTCCTCATGTAAGGTTGTGGACTTGGCTGTGTATTTTTTTGTTCTTTTGATTTTCTAGGGCTGAGGCTCACAATGCTAAGTGTGTGCTGTACCACTGAACTACACCCCCAGGCCCACGTGTTTGCTTTTTTAGAATGGAGACATAAGAAAAGGAGAAGATGGGTGGAAAAATGAACATGGGTGGGAGAGAATAGTCTGGAGGGTTAGAAATCATTAATGTCTATTGTTTTTGTTTCTGACAGATTTGGAAAAGGAGGGATAATGATGAAGTCAGCCAGCAGGGGGCGTGAAGGAGCGGTCCAGGGCATCGGTGGGGGACAGTGAGTAAGAGTCCTGAAGCTGTCGCTGAACACAGCCTGACTGCAGGGCCCTGAGTCAGCCCTGTTCTTATGGGTTCTGCCTACACCAGAGCACTGTAGGGACCCATGTGCCTGGGATGGTCCTGTGCTGTCCCAGCTGGGTTTTGATCAGGTTATTGTAAATTCATGTTTCTTTCTCCTTCCTGTCTCTCTTTTAGCTTCAGCAGGCAGAGCTTTTTTACAGATGGATGTAATTTATTTCTAAGTAGGCTGGTGTATTGAAAGGATAGATAATGTCTTACAGACATCAGGACTTGGGATTCTGGGAATAAGAATGTGAAGACAGTGACTTAAGTCGTCTATGTAGGTAGATGATTCTCCTGTGCTTCATTTCTGTGTTTTTTGAAATGGATTAAACATTCTCCTGTTTTTAAACTAGCCTCTTGTTTTCTTCACTTATACTGCTGGCTAAGGAAAAGATTTATTTTTCTTTATAACCTTTACAGACTGTCTAGCGTGCAGTCTGTCATCTGGTGGACATCTTCCTTGTCTCCTTGTGAGTGTGTGGGTGGTGTGACAGTTGGGGTACATGTGTCTCTGAGTAACAAAATACTGACTAGAAATTACAAATTACTGTTGTGTTTAACTAGAAAACTGGAGGTGGGTGGTGGCAGGCAGCAGCTGGGTTCTGCAAGGGGACAGGAGGAAGGGATTGGTATGAAGGCCGCCTGCTGGAAGGATTGGGCAGAGTGGCTTTCAGTGGGCTCAGTCATTGACTTCTGGCACCCTGGAAGAAGTGTGATGTTGGTGGCAGACCCAACGATGTGGAAGGCCCGATGTGGCAGCTGGAAGCAGACAGCCCCCATAGCAGGCTTTCCAGACACTGCACTGCCATTTGGCACTCTCACTTTGTGGATGCAGCAAGGATGTCCTTCGTTCCTTGGCCTCTTGGGGTTTCAGTATGTCCTCTGGGATTCTGCCCTGTGTTCAGCTACTAAAAGCTGGGATTCAGTAGGATATAGTTCTCATTCTCTTCTCACTGTTTACTCCCCGTGCGCTGTTTAAAGTGTGCTGCAGCTTTGTTTCTTACTGTTAGGGAGGTGACTCAAAACAAACCTAACCCTGAACTTGACCTTTACGGTTCCCTGCCCATGTGATATATGTTGGGTGTCTTAAAAGTCAACTCAGGAGCCGGATGTGGTGGTGCACACTTGTAAGCCCAGAACTGGGGGGCTGAGGCAGGAGGATTTTAGGAGTTCAAGACCAGCCTGGGCTGCAAAGTGAGCTCAGGGCCAGCCTGAGATGAATAGAGAGACTGTCTCAAAAAGACAAAGAAAAAAAGGTCAACTCAAATTAAACATTATTCAAAACTGAAATGTATAAGTTTCTCTTTCAAATTTAACCTTTTTCTAGTATATTCTACATGAAAGATTCCGCCATTCATCCAATTACCTGGATGGGAATTTCACCCAGGAGTAATACTTATACCTCTCTCTACTGCCTTTATTCTATTACCATAACTGTCTTACTACTTTTCTCGTTGCTGGGACAAAATACCCAACACCCAAAATTAAAGAAGCTCACAGTTTGTGGGGATTTCAGTCTACTCAGCTGGCTCTGGGGCAGGGTGGCCTGGCATCGGAGCAACAGCAGTAGTTCAAGGCGGCAGAAGACAGCAGAAGCAACAAGAGCAAAAGGGCAAAAGAGGAGGAGCAGGCGTCTTTTCCTTCCTTATATTGAATGCAGGTAACCTGCCCTAAGGCAAGTATAGCACTTGCGTCAACAGTCCCCACGAAGTTTAGATTAGGCTGCCCCTATGACCCCATGAGGCTTTGAGCGGGCATTTGGGCACAACACATAACATCCCATCCATTTTTCTTTGTAGTATGAACTACCCACCTACATTCTCTACCACTATCTAGTCTAATAAGCTTGTGCTGGCTTAGTGTAGGTCCAGTCTGAACCCAGTCAGGAGAGAGAAACCATGTAATAATCTGATTAAGGGAAGTTGGAGTTTTTTGTTTTGTTTTGCTTTGTGTGTGTGTGTGTGTGTGTGTGTGTGTTTAGAGACAGGTTGACCTGTCTCACTGTGCAGTATGCAGTTTAGGCTGGCCTCGAGCTTGCAGTGATCCTCCTGCCTCAGCCTCCTGAGTCCCAGGATTACAGGCACGTGCCACCATAATAAGTGAGAAAAGTTTAATTTAAATATTAATGGTGCTGGGGAGATAACTCAGTGGCATAAGTGACTGCCTGGCAAGGGCAAGGTCATGAGTTCAATCCCTGGTATCAAAAAAATTATAAAAAAATAAATATTAACTGTAACAGGGGTCTAGAGTAATGAGAGATTGGCTGGAAATAAGTATACTGAACCCTAAAGCATGCTGGAGTAACGAATTTAAGGAGCAGCTACTACTTTAGGGCTGCTGCTGCCATAGATTGTCTCAGGTAGAGCCCGGGTCTTGCTGAAGATCAGCCCTCTGGAACTCCATACAAATCTGCTTTGGGCGGGGGAAACGTGGCTCAGAGGTAGGGGGTGTGCTTGGCATGAGCGAGGCCCTGGGTTCGTTCCAATCTCAGCATCCTCTCTGTCTCCCAAGGATTCTTTTTTGTCATGCTTTGAGGCAAGCTTCCCACTCACAAGAGGAATGACGCTGGAGGCACCCTGCCGCAGGACCGTCATGGAGTGCCGCGGGATCCGGGCCCTGGCCAGTCTGCGAGCGCTGCAGGAGCCCGATGTTGGAGACAGCTGCTCGCTCTGCTCCTAAGGGAGCGTGTTGGCACTAGGAAACAAAACCCTTCTGCATGTCCCCTCAGTGCCTTCTGACAGCCCTTGTTCCAGCTGGCAAGAAAGAATCTAAAAGCACAGATCCATTTTTATAGAAGAAGTGAATTTGGAGCTAAGAGACAGTTAACTGACAGCTGGCATAGTCCATGCCTTTGGATATGCGCCTTTCCTAATGCTTTTCTGCACATCTTTGAACTCCCATTGAATAGCAAAGACCATAGTTCTGTTTCTGCCTCACAAAACACACTCACCCTTCATAGGTGGAAATAAGCTTCATTCCCAAAATGAGATGCAGTCCTGAGAGTCATTCTGTCTGCTACTGTTGCATTGATTATGCCTGAAATCCTACCTCCTACTCAATTTTCTTCTTTCAAAAATTTATTTATTTGGTATGGGGTCTCGCCCACAATGTAGCTCAAATTCATAGTGATCCTCCTATCTCAGCCTCCCCATTGCTGGGATTACAGGCATGCACCACCATGCCAGGTTTCAGTGGCCAGTATGGTGCCCTGGCCAGGGTTCCAGGGCCAGCAGGGCATGTACCAGGGATTGAACCTGGCCCCTTGCACTTGCCAGGCAGGTGCTTAGACTGCTGAGCTGTCTCCCCAGCCTCAGCTTTCTGTTACTGAACATCCTCATCTGTGCTTGAGATTGACCAGACTTTGCAGTCTCTGAAGAGGAAATGCATGCTGGGATTGTAGCTGTGTACACACTTGGGCCACCCCCACTCAGCCGGTCATAGTGGAAGCAAGCCATGTATCACCTAAAGGACCTTAAGTCTTCAGTGACAATGTGTACTGCCATCATTTTGGAGGAGCATAAACACAAAACATGCAAAAGAACAACACAAGCCAAGAATGGCTGTATTGATCCCTCTCCTCTCTAAGAGGTTGAGGTAGGAGGATCACAAGTTCCTGAGAAATTTAGTGAGACACTATCTCAAAAAACAAGGCTGGGCCAGGTGTGGTGGTCCATGCTTGTGACCTTAGCCCTCAAGAGGCTCGGGCCAGAGGATCACAGTGAGTTTGAAGGTATCACTGACTACACCGTGATTTCAAGGCCAGCCTGAACTACACAGTGAGACTGGGTCTCAAAAAAAAAAAAAAAGTCTAGGGGTGTAACTCAGTAAAATGCTCTTGAGTGTTTAGCAGTCTCCATTGTCTGCCCCCCCCCAAAAGGATAACACAGAAAACAAAGACAGTAACACATTTATTCACCAAGTATGACAGAGTCCCAAGTAGCAAACACTGCCCTAGGACTGGGTGCAAAATGAACAGCTGCTGTCCTTTGGAACTAGACTAAGGCTCAAGTTAGGAAAATACATGACTCAAGCAGTCACAAGGGAGAAAAAGTTGCCTGGATACACCTGGGGGTGCAAAGATACACATGGTACAGTGGGCGTGAGCGGTCACAGAGGAAAAAAGAGGTAAAAGGGAGAGGAAGTGCACAGTAACCATGCCGTCAGTGGCCACTGCTGCCCACCTCGTGACGTGCTGGGGCTTGTGGCACAGCCGAGCAACAGGCTGTATCCTGGGATCAAGAACAATCACAAACTTCTTTTTTAAAATTTTTTATTTATTTATGTGTGTGTGGGGGGGGGCCAGCTCAGCCCACCAGGGGGCGGGGCTAGCTGGCATGTGGTGCTGGGGGATTGAATCGCGGTCCCTGTGCTTTGCTAAGCTTGTTCTAAGTAGGTGCTTTAGACCACTGAGCCATCTCACCAGCCCCACAAACTTCTTGAGAAATGAGACAAGCAGCTACAGTTTCAGTCTTCAGCCTAAGAGCCAAGGGAGTACCCTTAGAAGTGGGGAGGTCAGGTGTGCTCAGATTTGTGTTTTAAAAGATTGGTGCAGCCTAAAAGCGGGCATGAACTAGGGACAGGAGGAAAGAGTGCAGGGAGATCTATTGCAAACAGAAATTGCAATAGCACAGACTGAAGTGATAATGGCCGAGGCGGGAGCGTGTATTGAACTCAGGCCCTTGGCGCTTGCTGGGGAAGCGCTTATTCCACTGAGCCATCTCCCTGCTAGGGAGAAATTTACAACACACAGGGTAGAAAATAAATGAATATATCTAGCACAGTTTTACTGGCAAGACAATATGATAAATACCCCAGTGGGAAGTTGGGCAGAAAGCCCAAGTAAACCTCACAAAAGTGAAATACAGATGACAGATATACATGTAAATGATGTTTATTTCAGAGCAAAAGAGATGCGGGGCTGGGGAGATAGCTCAGCAGCATAAGCACCTGCCTGGCAGGTACAAGGTCTGGAGTTCAATCCTGAGTACAAAAGGAGTTTTGCCCTTGAGAAAAGGACAGGTACATTCATGGTCCCATGATGAATGACTGAAATTTTAAGTCTAAACCTTTCTGCGTATTTATGCAAAAACAAGTATAGCTGATTTAGTAAACATGGGAACGTGTTTCTTTGTAACTTGCATTGTTCTTTTAGGGCAATAAATAAAGATATCTACCGTGCTTTTTTTTTTTTTTTCTTTTAATGTATTTGGTACAGGGTCTCACTATGCAGCTTGTTAATTAGCATATTAAACCTTTTTTTTTAAGATACAAACTCTTCCCTGTTGTAAGCAGCTGTTACAGGGCTTAAGAGTGTGGCTCAGTGCATAGAGTTCTTGCTTAGTGTGCATACAAAGTCCTGGGTTTGATGCCCAGCATCACAAAAACCAACTCAGCAATATTTGTGAATAAAAATCCATGTGGTTACATTTCTATTTAATCTTATCTCTTTAGAATAAATTCCAAGATATGAAATTTTTGGGACAAAATATACACACTTTATTTATTTACTTTGATGACTGGAGGTGAGACATGGCAGGAAGTAGCTTCACACCACATGAAGGTCCCTAGAAAGTGTTTAGCATCCTGCTCCCTGTACAAGACAGTGGGCACACGAGAGCCCACGGCTAGGGACAAAGCAGTGACAAATTTTATGGTTTTACAGTGGGCAGAAATCAGACACGTATAGCAGTGTGGCCACAAGTAGGTGATGTCCAGACAAGCAACACCTCAAAAGAGACTTGGAGGGTCGACAGCACAGTCTCTTACACTACACATCACAACAACACAATTTATAAACCATCCCCAGGGAAAAGGGAAGGAGTGGCCAGTGGTCAGTGACCCCCAGGAGCCAAGCAAGAAGGAACTGAGTTTGTTTGGGGGCTCAGGAGGCAAATGCAGCTTGGACTCACAGTGATCCTCTTGTTTTTAGCTTCCCTAGCACTGGGATTACAATCGAGCACCACCACACCTGGTCTCGGCTGGCTCAGTGCACTTGGGGGCAGGGCCAGTGCAGCATGTGGTGCCGGGGATCGAACCCCAGTCCCTGTGCTTGCCTACGCAGGTGCTTAGTCCACTGAGCTATCTCGCTGTCCCACTGGCCTCCCAGTCAGCTGGTCCATTCTCAATTTCCTTAGAGTGAAGCCGCCTCTTCTGTGTCAGCCACTCACTGTCAGTCTTGTTTGGGGACATGCTAGGAATGCCCCCCTGCCTGCAAGCTTTGGTTCTTCATCTTTCTGACCGGGCTGCTGCTGCTGCTTTTTAATAAAATGCTGGTTGCTCTCAGAGACCTGGTCTTTGCAATGGAAACAGTGGCTTTCAAGCCAATAGTTTGCTGCTGGGCATGCTGGCACATGCCTGTAATCCCAGCACTCAGGAGGCTGAGGCAGGAGAATTACCATGAATTTGAGGCTAGCCTGGGTTACGTAAGTGAGTTCAAGGCCAGCCTGGACTACATAGTGAGACTACATACTGTCTCCCTCTCCACCCCCTAAAAGCAAGACAATAGTCTACTATATGTTTACAAAACGCTACATGAAAATTCAAGTGCAGAGGCTAAGGGTTTTGCTTCATCCCTAGGATGGACAGAAAGCTGCAGCCTTGATATCCTCCTGGTGGGAGGTAGAGTTCAAGGGCAAGGAAAGGACAGAGAAGACCCTGGGCCGTGTGTCAAAATATGCATCCTGCTATAGTTCTCTTGTGGGATTGGCAGGATTGTGGGTGATTGCTGTTCCTTTTTGTGTGCAGTTTTTAAATTTTCTACAACAGATACATAGTGCATCTTGTTTTGTTTTGAGACACAGTCTCACTATGCAGTTCAAGCCAGCCTTGAACTCAGTACATAGCTCAGGCTGGCCTTGAACTTGTGGCAATCTCCTGCCTCATCCTGAGTGCTGGCATTGCAGGTGTGCCACCACCATGCCCGGCACACATTCCTTTTACTCTAAGAATTATGACAACATTCATACAGGGCCTTATCCATAAATTTAGGTTTTTAGTGCTAATAGCTGTCCCATTCTTGCGATGCAAATACTTAACACCCACAGTTAAAGAAGTTTAATTTGGCTCACAGCATGATGGAAGGGCTTGAGGGAGCACAGTTGCTTAGTTCATGGTGGTGGGGGAGCAGAGCAGAGGCACAGTAGGTGTAGGGACCAGATGGAGCGCCTAAGACATACTGGGGAGGGGGCCTTTGCTAATCTGCTGGGAGATTCTTAAACCAAGGACGCTGACATGGCAGGATTAGCAGCCCCCAGATGTGCCCTGTTTCTCACTGTTTTGGTGTCCTCACACTACCCTTGCTGTCTCTGGGAGAGGGAAAGACAGTGGAGGCCTGGCCCGGACGCTTGGGAGGGAAGGGGATGAGGAGAGGACTGCTCTGCCAAGTGATGGGGTGAGGTGGATCCCAGCCCTGCTGGTTTCAGTGTGAGGCTGTGGCTCCTGCCACACCTTGGAAGACACTGTCTTCTTTTTTTGTAGGCGTGAGCAGGATTTTATTAGTGTGGTACGGGCACTGTGTCACATAGAAACTGATCCTTGGCTTGCATTGTCCCAGCTGAGCTTTGAGCAGGTAAATCGTAGCAGAAGTAGTTACCACTGGAAGTTCAAACAAAGGTTGGCAAATTAACCGTACAAAAAGATTCTAAAAGGGAGTCTGGCATACTGGTACACGCCTGTAATCCCAGCACTCAGGAGGCTGAGGCAGGAGGACTGGCACAAATTCAAAGCCAGCCTGGACTACAATGAGATGCAGTCTCCAAAACAAAAAATAAAGGCAAAACCCCTCACAAAAACCAAAAGCCAACTAAACCCCAAATAAAACAAAAAAGGAAGTGGGTCCTTGTGCCTGTCAGGCAAGTGTTCTACAACCAAGCTATCCACCTGGCCTCTAAAATTACTTTTCGTATCTTAACCAAGCAGCAGCTCTCAAGCAGCGGAACATTTCAGATCCAGAAGTTGGCCCAGCCACGTTCCCATCATGCTGGAGCACGTTGTGTGTGTCTTTCCCACACTGGGGGTTTCCTGGGCTTTTTTGAAAAAGCCTCATTTAAGGATTTCATATATTTATCTTTTAGAGTACTTTATGTTCCCATTTTTTTTTTTATTCTTCCAAGTTTTGAATTTCGCAACAGTGTTAAGCAAATAGCCATAAAAGCCTCTCTTGAGTGCATGGAGCTGGAGGGAGGCCGGGCCCAGCCTCTCCCCGCCCCCTGCTAGAGAGGAGCATTTTCTCCTGAGCCCAACGCAGAGGCTGTGGGTGGAGCTGGGACAGACAGCTCTGGTGGGTGGGAATCCTCTGGTGCAGCCTCCTCCCCGGGACAAAGTGGCCCTGGTTCCAGGCTGTGGGTGGAGCTGGGACAGACAGGGGCTGACACATCTGAAGGCACAGGCTAGGGCTCATGGTTCCCTAGTGTGAGGTCTGTGAGGAAAGTGTGGATGGGGAGGCTCCTTTTCAGTGAGGGTAGCAGGCTGGGGGGCCATGATGGTGAGAGCTCAGGTGGGCCAGAGTCTCAGCCACTGTGCTTCTCAGGGCTACACGGCAGGCCTGCCTTCTTCCCCTCAGGGAAGCGGTGGTCCTGGCCATGCGCAGGGGAAGCAGAGTCTCCCTCTTTCTTCTCTACAGCCCTGGTTGCTAGAATGTGGCCTGCCCATGAAATTTTTGAAAAGGGAATGAACTGAAGAGTAAATGACCATCCTGTTCGAGGCTGGCTCTGAGAAGATTTGTACAGTGGACCCACTCTGCTCTTAAGGCCACTTCAAGGCACTGGTCATATCTGCCTGTGAGTCAACCCTCCAACCTGAGGTGCTACCTGACCCAGAAAATGAGGGTCTGGGGGGTGGGGGAGGAATGGCTGTCAGGAGGTGGAGTCAGGTGACTGGGCTCTTGGTGACATCTGAGGGGGAGTCAGCTTTGGTCAGTGAATGTGATTCCCCTTGAGGCCTTCCTTGGGCTGAACACATGGGGTCAGGAAAGTAACAAGTCCCAAGGTCGAGGAAAGTGACCAGGGGTCTGAGTCAGGGGCTGGGGGTCTGGTTCTGGTGAGGAGGAGGCTCAGAGGGAAGAGGAGGGGCCAGGGCCCAAGGAAGGGCTCTTTCCTGATGGCGCCATCAGAGGCCCTCAGGAGCCTGGAGTTGGGCCCCAGGAGATGGGAAGGGGCAAGATAGGATGCAGCAGGGGCCTGCTGGGAACAGGAGCACCTCCCACCATGACCAGGAAGGACCTGTCCCTCCCCCTAGTTAGGAACAGGACTCACCTGGAGGCTGGGCTCTCATCAGAACTGGGGGATCTGGAAACACTGGAGAAGGTTGTTGGCCTCACACAGCCCCAGGGCCTGCCAGAGGGACAGCATTAGGGCTGCAGCTCCCCAATCCCAGCTCTGAGGGGGACACAAGCTCCCCAAAAGGGATGGTTCCTACTCCACCTGCCACCTGGTGGGCACTCTTGGAGTGACCTCGTGAACCCCTAGTGCCACTCGGGAATACTCAGCCACACACAGGCCAGCCCCATCCCAGAGCAGCATGTCCCAGCTGCTAGGCCACAGCTGCCAGGCTGTCCCGCCCCTCCCAAATGGCTCCTTTTGCTTTCTGTGGTGATGGTTTCTTTACCTCTCTGTGACCAAGACTATTCCTACCTGAAAATGTGGAGGGCACCTCCTAATCCTGGGCCCAAGACAGGCCCCTGAGGATCGTGGCCGGAGGAGGTACTAGGGAAGCTGAGGGGACCCGAGGGCCAGCTAGAGAGTGGGTACCTGGCAAGTGGCTCGGGCATCGGTGCCCCTGGACTCCACAGCTAGCAGCTGGGGTGTGTACTTCTCCACAAATTGTGTGCACTGGGGAAAGACACACCAGGTAGACTCAGGCTTTTCCTACCTTGACGTCCTCGCGTCCCTGCCTGAGATTTCAGGGTCACTCCCAAGACCTGGGATCACAGGCATGTGCCACCATGCCCAGCTTCTCTGTGATTTTTTTTTTTTAAACTTTTTTTGATTATTATTTATTTGTGTGTGTGTGTGGCCAGCTCAGCCCACCAGGGGGCGGGGCTGGCTGGCATGTGGTGCTGAGGGATTGAACCGCGGTCCATGTGTTTTGCTAAACTTGTTCTAAGTAGGTGCTTTAGACCACTGAGCCATCTCACCAGCCCTTCTCTGTGATTTTTGAGGCATGGTTTCTCTATGTAGTTCAGGCTGGCCTTGAACTCATTATATAGCCCAGGCTCGTCTCAAATTTGTGCAGTTCCCCTGCTTCAGCATCCTGAGTGCTGGGATTACAGGTGTGTGCCACCCCTGGATCACCAGCTTACTTACAAAAGGGAATTTGCTATCACTGAGTATTGGCAGGGCCTGCGGGACCTTCAAGGCCAGGCTTCTTTTCAAGTAGCCTTGTCCCAACCGAGTTATATTGCAGAAGGGTAGAGAAGGGACAGGACTAGGAATCTGGAAAGGAGGCCAGGCTGATCCTGGCTCCAGCTGGGCCTGGACTTACCCTTCTGGTATCTACTGGGCACTGGTATATGCCACCCACCACTGGGAGGGAAGGCTGTCACAGGCACCGTCCTGGGCCTCAGCCACAGCTAGCACCTCTTGGAGCAGGGGTTGAGAGAGGGCCGCATGGGGACTTCTGGGATTTGCCATGACTCAGCCATGCAGGAGCCTTCTTGTCCTCAGGACCCCATGGCCTGTGTCTGGACTGACCCCATGCCCTCAGCAGCTGTTGCCTGTCACAGTCCCACAGCAGTCTGGCCCTGTTCTGTCTGCCTGGCGGGGCTCCAGCCCATTCTGCTTTGTGTCTCAACTCAGCTCTTTCTGCCCCAGCCCACCCGCCATCATGTCAGACCTTGGTTCCCGCATCCCCATGTGCCTGTTTGTACCTTCTGTGTATCCAGCGGGGAGCTGAGGCAGGCCTGGTGCATGATGTGTGGCCTGGCCTGCTCGCTGCTATTCCAGGCCTGGGTGGTCACAGACACGCAAAGGTGGCACTCGGAGTCCTGCGACAGCCATTCTTCTGATAGAGGCAGGGCAGGGAGGACTAGAAAAAAAGAGTTGTAGCTGTCCTGTGGAAATGTCTGGTTCCTGGGCTCCCTGCATGGCAGGGCACCAGGGAGGGACAGGGGCAGGAGAGGGTTGGGCACAAGGAAGGCCAAGGCAGGACACAGTGGCAGCAGTGGGTGGTGGAAGGCTCACCGGGGTTGGCACTGTTCTCCATAGAGCACCGGAGGATGAGGCCACACACCAGCTGGGGCAGCATACGGCTCATCAAGGCATCCAGCAGGAGGACTGTATAGCGCTCCGCCAGGCACTGGCAGATGCCACCCGCCACCAGGGGTACCACGTGGCACACCTGGGCTACAGCCACGGCCAGCACACCCTGGGGCGGGGGTGGAGAGAGGGCAGATGGGACCTTGGAAGGCTCTATTCTGTGCCTGGCACCTGCTAGGCAGTTTGGGTTTTGTGGAGGCAGGGCTTTCTAGGCAGCCCAGGCCAGCCTCAAACTGGCAGCGATCCTCCTGCCTCAGCCTCTGGAATGCTGGGATTACAGACATGTGCCACCACACCTGGTTCAGCAAGGCACTTCTGTATGCTTCCCTTTGTTCCCTTCCAGCAGAGAGAGGTAAGGACACTGACGGCCAGAGGACGTCAGACATGCCTGGAGTCATGGAGTGACTGCAGTAGCTGGCAGTGGACCCAGCTCTGGCTGCCCAGGTTCTAGGCTCCCTGCAAGGGGCACAGCTGGGTGAGAGCTGCAAGCAGCAGCCCTGTCTGCTGCTCCTGACCCAGGGCTCCCTCTGCATCCCCCATGCAGCAGGATGACAGGTGGCTGCTTCCTGTGGCTGCTGGAGCCAACACATCCCTGGTTTCGGGAACCTCTGGCAAAAGTCTGCAGTTTCCCTGTCTTGCCCCAGTTCCACACACACAGCTTCCAAGCTGGAGGGCAAGAGAGCGGCAGCCAGCATGTGGCTTCTTCTCTCCTCTTTTATCCCTCCCCACGTGTGCTGAGCCGGCCCTATCTGAGGGGTAGGGAGGTGGAGTGAGGAGGGGCTTGGTGGTACATGCCCCTCCTGGGTGCATTTCACAGGATGCACCCCAGCTCGTGTCTGATTCACACCAGCCTCTTCCCTTGCTGTGGTGTCAAAGCCCAGGCCAGAGGGCTGGGGAGATAGCTCAGCTGCTTAAGTGCCTGCCTGGCAAGTGCAAGGTCCTGAGTTCAATCCTTGGTATCAAAACAAAAAGCCCAGCATGTCACTACTGCCCAGCCCTGCCTACCTCTCCTGTTCCCCTTCTAGGACAGCTTCTGGGTGACATGGGCAGGACTTGCTGTGCTGTCTTATCCTGTCCCCAGAACCTGCTCTGTTTGGGCTTCTCTATTTTTCTTTTTCTTTTTAGTGTTTTTAAGACAGGGTCTCACTCTGCAATTCAGGCTGGCTTTGAACTCCTATAGCCCAGGTTGGCCTTGATCTCTGAGTGCTCCTCCTGCCTCAGCCTGCTGAGTGCTGAAATTACAGGTGTGCACCACCATGACTGGTTCCCGTTTGGGCTTCTGTCCTCTCCACTGCCTCCAAACAACTCTTGGGTCCCCAACAGCCTCTCTGCTGCCACACCCACTGGTCATCTCTCATCTTGCCTGATGGTCAGCAGCTGCGGCCCACATGAATGCCCCTTCTCCAGATGCCTTCCTTCTAGGGTGCCAGGCCATGGTTCTCCACCTCACCAGCACCCCTCTTGTGTGGCTGTTCCTCTTTGCCTTCCAGGCCTCCTGCTGCTCCTGTCCACACCCTGCTCCTTGGGGTGCTCATCCTGGCCCACGGTCAGCTCTGGGCAACAGGTGTCGCTGGTAGCCCTGTCTCCAGGGCATGATGTTCAGCCCTGCAATTGACCTGTCTCCTCTTGGGTCCAGCCCAGGAAACTCCAGCATAACATGGTCCAGTGACAACTCTGGCTGTCCACTCAAACCTAATTCTTTTCGAATGCCCCTCTCTGCTGGTGGCAGCAGCAGAGACCCAGAAAGTCATCAGGATTCGCATGCTGTCCTCACTCCTCGAGGCCTTTGGTCACTAAGTTCAACCAGGCTCACCCCCACAGTGTCCCATTTGCCCTCTCAGCTCCACCCCCACCGCACACCTGCTCCAATCCTGCTGTCCTCCTGGCCCCTCACTGGCCCAATCTGTCCTGCTAATAGCAGGATCTACCCTTCACAATCCTTGAAATGCTGGAATAGCTGCAAATTGCATTCAGTCCCAAACGCTTTGCTTCTTTTCCTTTTTTTTTTTTTGGTGGAACCGGGAATAGAACTCCGGCCCTTAGGCTTGCCAGGGAAGTGCTTATTCTACTGAGCCATCTCCCTGGCCCTCTCCAACTCTTTTGACATATATATATATATATATATATTTTTTTTTTTTTTTTTTTTTTTTTTTTTTTTTTGCAGAACCATGAATTGAACTCAGACCCTTGTGCTTGCCAGGGAAGTGCTTATTCTACTGAGCCATCTCCCTGGCCCTCTCCAACTCTTTTGACATATATATATATATATATATATATATATATATATATTTTTTTTTTTTTTGTATTTTAGTAGGTGTGTTCAGGGTCTCACTACTAGATTGGACTCCTAGTGATCCTCCTGATTATAGCCTCCCAAGAGCTGGGATTACACGTACGTGCCAACATGCCCAGCCTCAATTACCAATTCTCAGTGCACCCTGGGGACAGGGCTGATAGGGCAGGCCTGGGAGATCAAACCCCTGGCCCCTAAACCTGCTTACAGACACTTTAATCTGCTGAGCTATTTGGCTGGCCCAACTCTTTTATATTTTGCAACAGAGTTTCACTATTTTACCTGGGCCAGCTTCAAATTTAAGATCCTCCTACCTCAACCTCCTGAGTAGCGGAGATTATAGACATATGCCAGCATGCTCAGTTTTTTAAATTTTAATTAAAAATTTCTTTTTTCAAGGCTAAGGATGGAATCCAGATCCTCACACTCATGCTAGGCAAGCATTCAACCATGGAGCTACACCCCCATCTCCAAGCCACTCATTTCTTAACTTGCTCTGACAGTATCTAGATGGCCTGAGCTTTCCTGCTGGCCATCCCTCTGTAACCACACTAGCCTTGCATTCCTCAGGCCTCCCAGGCTCATCTTGATCAAGCCCTGGGCCCTTGCAGCTTCATTGTCCTCTAGGTCTCAGCTGAAGTGTTAGGTAGTGTAGCCCCCCAAAGCCCACATGACCTGTCTCTGCCATTTGGGGGCCAACTACCTAAGCGAGTCCTCAGGGACTCCCAGACCTACCAGCCTGATCCCAATCATTGTCTGTCACCTTATCCCATGTGACCCCTCTGCTCCCTCTGCTCTGGCACTGATTGATACCCCCACCTACCATCACCTCACACACAGTCTTGGCCAGAACAGCAACCTCATCCAGGGTTGTAGATGCTCAGTGACCAGCTAGTCTACAGGACCCCACTGGGGCAGGGCAGAGGGGCTCCCTGGGCAAAGGCCACAGCAAATCTAGACTCCATGCTGGACATGGGCAGTGAGGGGGGATCCTCCTCTAGAAATTCTCTTTTTTTATGTATTTAGTTCAGGGTCTGCAGGATCTCACCACACAGGTTGGACTCATAGTGATCCTCCTGTTTTTAGCCTCCTAAATCCTGGGATTATAGGTGCACGCCACCACGCCCAGTCTCAACTGCTGTCTCAGCACTCCCTAGGGGTGGGGTCAGCATGCCACGCCAGGGATTGAACCCCAGTCACTGTGCCTGCCTAAGCAGGTGCTTTAGTCTGCTGAGCTATCTGGCTGGGCCTGAAAACTTTCCTTTTGAGACATGAAAGCATCTTTTCTTCAGAACCGCTGGGACTCCTGAGCTGCCGTGGACAAGCGCAAATCGGACACCTGGCCCCATGCCTGCACAGCAAGGCCTTATTGCTCACTGAGTGAGCTCTAGGCCTGGCACCCCTGGGCCCGAGCCTCAGGGACTCTTGGCTGGGGACAGCAAGAAGCAGCTTCCATGGTGGGAGCTGGAGTGAGACAAGGGAAGCAGGGGGGCCCCTCTGGGATGCCTTACCTTGGGAATCATGGCCTGGACCCGCTTGAGCAGAGTGCGGCAGAGCCAGCAGAAGGGCAGTGGGATGGGGAACTGCTGCTCTGAGAGCTCCTGGGGAGGGAACAAGGCAGAGCCTGGGCCTGCATCCTCCTGCAGGCCACAGGCTGGGTCTCACCTCCCCTCTCTCCGTCCTCATTTGGTCTAGGCTCAGCTCTTGGTCCCTCTGGCTCTGCTTCTCCCAGGGCCCAAGGCACCTGGCTCCAAGCTGCCTCTGGGTTCCCCTGTGTCCAGAGAGCCCCTCACCTGGGTATGAGGCCCAGGCCACACTGAGAGGGCCCTCGGAAGCCTGGGGGGCACTGGCTTGTCTGACAGAGGCTCCAATAGCACATCAGGCAGAGGGTCTGGCCTCCCCGTCTCTGGCTCTGGCTCTGGCTCCAGCTGCCCAGGTTGGCATAGGCCCAGATTCTGGCAGATGTCCTTTGGGGTCTAGGAACAGTGCAAGTGAGGGGCCATCAGAGGCAGAAGAGGACCCCGTGGGTCCTGGGCTGAGGACCTCTGTCTTTGAGCATCTAGTGGAGGGGAACACGTGAGGGCACTGCATTTTAGGACTCTAGGGTGGGGTACAAAAGGCAGAGACCAGTCCTGTGGGGCTCTGGTGCCACACTACCTAGGGAAGTGTGTGACGAGTGTGGGCATTGGGCCTGGACCAAATGAGAGAAAATAGGTGCTAGGGTGTGCGCCTAGTTTGGCGCGCGCTTATGTGTGCGCGCGCTTATGTGTGCACGCGCGCATGCGTGTGCCGTGCGTGCTGTTTCTGCTGTCATGTGAGTCCCTGGTCTTTGTGTGATCTGTGCAGGCAGGCAGGCGTGTGGAAGGGGAGGCCGGGAACCCTCACGATGTGGCTCTGGAAGTAGTCGATGACCAGGGGGAAGTAGTTTTCAAGCACGTGGTGGCACCGGGGCACAAGCAGCTTCAAGGGCAGGACGTCGCATTCGCGCTCCAGGAACTTCCAAATGGTTTTCTGGGAAGATGGAGAGCTGACGGTTAGCCTGTCTCTCCGAGCTCTGCCCCTGCCCCATCCCTGGATGCCCAGCTGCCACCAGGGCAGGCTGGGACTGGGATTCAGAGTGCCGAGGGGCTCAGTAGCTGGGCACAGGTTGGGCCTCTCCCGCTCAGGTCGCACCATGGCCCAGTCAGGCAGAGCTTGCAGTCCCAGGCCTCACCCAGTCTCTCTGCTCAGCCCCTCATCCATCGTCCCCCAGCTTCAGCCAGGGTCTGGGCCTCATCACCTGGAAAATGGCCTCCTTGGCCATCTTTGTGAGGATGCGGACGATGTCCTCGCACTCCTGGCACAGGTCATCCTGGGGGCGACCCAAGGCGGGGCAGGTGTGTGGGGCTGTGCTCAGCTCGGAGGGTGGGGCCCTCTCAGGCACAGGGCTGTCCAAGGTCTGAGCAGGTGCCCACCACCCCATCTTTCCCATCTATCTCCCCTCCCGACTCCACCCGTCCCATTCCACCCATCCCACCCTTTTCCTCTGTCTTATTTGCTGTCACCCCAGTCGTCCATTCCATCCCGCTTATCCTGCTTTATCCTCCATCCATCTCCTCCCACTGACCCATCACGCTCCCCCCTGATGGGGGCTCCCATCCTTTCAGGCCCCCTCAGAGCCCAGCCAGTGCCCTTGGGTGGGACTCACGGCTCCCACGTGTCCCCAGACTTCCTGTAGGCAATATCCTAGGGCTCTGCACTGCAATGCTTGCTCCAGGCTTTGGCACCAGAACTTGGGTCCCTGGGTACAGGCCAGGGATGAGGCGGTCCAGACAGCTAAAATTTGGGGCAGAGCAGCCTTGGTCAGGTTCCAGGTGACATCTGGCAGCTTGATTTCATCCAGCCTCAAATTCAGTTTGCTGGGAATGCAGACGCATAGGACAGCACTAGGTTCCCCCTGCCCCAGTTCCTGCTAGCTGTGTGTCCTTGGATAAACCCAGGAGCCTCTCTGCGCCTCAGATGACTTGTCTGAAATGAGCATTATGTACAGACGTGGTGGAGATGCCTCTGAGAGGAAGGCTGGGGCAACTCACCAGCAGCAGGGCCATATAGCGTGGGCAGCAGTAGCAGCCAGGGCAGCAGGTATGACTTGGCCATGACACCACAACAGCTGGGTGTCAGCATGGGCCAGGGGCTCTTATAGCTGGGGGAGAGGGCCAGGGAAGTCTCAGCAGGCCTTGACATCAGTGTTTGCCTTCCTCCTGGAGAGCCCTCCAGGTACTTTGGTCCTGCCTCTTCCCAGCGAGACACTCCTGCCCCTCCCCTGCCTGGCTGAGGGCCTGTCCTGCTCACTTCGCCCCTGCCCTACCTCCCAAGGGCCAGGACTCATGGCTCCTTTCCAACAAGGAGCCTGGTCCCAGCTTTCAGGGCTGTGGGAGGTAAACTGAGGCAGGGCTAGCGTTGGGGGGCAGCCAGGGTGACTGCCCTTTAGCCGCACCCGACACCTCCTGGCCTCCTTTGCTCTTGAGCAATGCTCTTAAAAGCTTCCTGCCTTGCTCTTGATCCACGGTGAGCACCAGAAGGACCAACCCGGGACCCTCTGGGGCTCCTACCTCCTGCCTAGTCCTTGCCTTTGGTCCTAGAAAAATCTCTGGTTCTGTGGACACATGGTTGACATTAGTCAGAAGAGCATTTATGTTAAAAAAAAAAAAAAAGAAAACAAAGTGGCCTGAACAGCCAAGACCAGGAGTGAGAGCTGAGATTGTTGTGCCCCCCCCCCAAATGGCTCTCAGCTGTACCCAGAGGCTGCTGTCCATGTCCCGTTGGGGTGAGCTGAGGGTTCAGGAGAAATGGCAGCCAGGTCCCCACTGGGTAGGCTGCCTCAGAATTCATAGCCTACTGAGGTGGAGGGAGTGGGCAGTTGGGCACTGCCACTGCCTTGGAGGTAGGGGCCAGGCCCTGTCCTGATCGGAGGCTCCCAGGCTGCTGTGTGGCAGGAGGCACCCCAGGCTCAGGGGGAGTGGGCGGAGCAGAGAGGCCTGTGATGCAAACGGGGAATGCAAGTGGTAAAGTAACACAGCCATGGCCACTCAAGGATTAATAGGGGTTCTGTTGGCCTCCAGCCCTAGTCACTATGACAGACACGGTTATCACCGTGGGAGTTAACCAAGAGTATGTGCAAGTATGTGACCAAAGAATAGGGCCCAGTGACTGGCACAAAGGGTGGGATGGAGGAGCTGGAAGGGGCGTGTGGTTCAGCATTCCGGGAGCGCAGGAGCCAAAGGCTGTGGTGTGACCCAGCGGGATGCTTGTGCTTGGCATGCGTGAGGCCCTGGGTCTGGTACCCAGCACTGAAACCACAAGATCCAGTGACAAAACCAACGCGCTATGCCATGACGGCTTTGGATGCGATCAGGACAGGCTGAGCGGGCAGTGGGGTTTATGGGCGGTACTGCCAGGACTGTGGTGGTCAGGGATGTCCAACGAGCACCTACCAGGCTCTTGGCTTCACGTGTCTGGCTTCCTTTCCCCTCAGGTCACTGAGCAGAGCAGGTTGGCCTCCTTCGGGAAGCTGAGGTCCACACAGCCATGCAGGGTGCAGGTCCTTCCCTCGGCTTCCCTGAGGGCTCAGAGTCCACTGCATCTCCTAAACTGACCAGCTGGGAGCAGGCTTTGGGGACCCCGCGCAGAAGTGGTGTCTGTCATCACTGGCCTCTCACTGTATCGATAGCTCTCCAAAGAAGGTTAGAAAATGCCACATTCTTGCAAACCAGCCAGAGGCAGGAGGAAAGTGGAACTAGGACCACTGTCGCAACCCTCCCCAGGGATGAAGAACTGGTGTTCAAGGGGAGTTTTAGCTAGTGGGTCTGCGGCTTCCACTGGATCTCAAAATGTAGCCCACAGACTGTCAATAGCTACCATTCAAGAGCTCAGATAAAGGAAAGACCTACAGCCAGATATTGACAGGGCTGCCCGCTGGCCGAGAGGTGAGGGTTTCCTGGCCCTTGGGGACATCCCCCTACATCTATGCTCTGCTGAATGTGCCCCACAAGGTCTCTGACCAGAATGGGGCTCCCATGGGGTGCAGCTGCAGGATGGCCTCTGTGGATCCGCCTGGAGAGGAGAGTGTCACCTGCCACCTTCTTACGGTAAGTGGATAAAGAAATATTGAGAAGAAAACAAAGGAATTTGGGCATAGTGGCATGGAACAGTAATCCCAGCACTGGGGGAGGCTGAAGCAGGAAGACTGTGAGTTTAATCCCAGCCTGAACAATTTAGCAAGATTTTTATTTTTATTTTTTATGGTACTGGGGATTGAACTCAGGACCTTGTGTTTGCCAGGCAGGTGCTTATGCTGCTGAGCTATCTCCCCGACCCTTTATTTTGTCTCAAAATAAATAAACAAACAAATAAATAAATGTAGGCTAGGGTTGTAGTTTACTGGGAAGGCATTGGGTTCAATCCCAGTGCTTGCTGACAAAGAAAGGAAAAAGAAAAGAAAAGAAAAAAGGAAACAAAGGGAAAAAAGAAAGGAAAAGAACACTCTGACAGCTTCTCCAGGGGCTAAGTCTGGTCAGTTTGTATGTAGTTACAGGAGAAGGCTCCTCTCAGTGTGTGGTCATGCAGGAAAATCTCATTTTTCTGTTTGACTGTGGACAGTGCGAGGCTCCCAGGCATGAGAGCAGAGAGGGCTGGAAGCTGACATAAAAGAGAATTAGGCAAGGGTTTTCTATGAAAAATTTATTTTCTATCCTTCATGCATGCAAAGAGACAGCAAAATTCCTTTTTGTTCTTTTTGTGGCATTTTGGGCTTCCTGTCCCTGGCAGTGCTTGGGCTGGAGACTCTTCTCACTCACGAATTTACTTGAGCATCTTTTTTTTTTTTTTTTAGGTACCAGGGATTGAACTCAGGACCTTGAGCTTGCCAGGCAAGTGCTTATTTTACTGAGCTATCTCCCTGGCCCTGTTTTTTTTTTTTTATTTTAATTTTTGTCTTTTTTTTCCAAAGGGACTTTTTTTGGTCTTATTTTTACTATTTTCTTTTTTGGTACCGGGAATCGAACTCCAGGCCTCGTGCTTGCTAGGCAGGCGCTGCGCCACTGAGTCACATCCCAGGCCCAAATTTTTGTCTTTTTGATACAGGTTCTCATTACACAATTCTGGCTGGCCTTAAACTCACTTTGTAGCCCAGGCTGGTCTTGAACTTGCAATGATCTTCCTACCTCAGCCTCTGGAGTGCTGGGATATAGGAATACGGCACCATGCCCAGCTGTTTCTGTTTTGGAGGCAGCACCTGTGGGAAATCCACCCTGAATGCCTCCCTGGAAGGTCTTAAGACAAAGCTCCTGCACCCAGGCCTTCTCATGCTTGTCTTTCAGAAGAGGGGTTTCTTTAGAGGAGAACCAAGGAGGAGGACCTTGACAGGGTTCACACAGAGCTTTAACTCACTCACTCAAATAGCTAAAATGTGTTTGATGTGCTGGAAGTTGGGAGGACAGTGGTCACTGCCCTAGTGGACTTAAATTTATGGGGGTGAAATAGGGGAAAGAAACTTCCAACCAGCTAGATACCTGGCACGAGTTCATGTTCTCTAAAATTGAGAATTAATTTTAGGAACAACAGAGGTTAAGAGCAGGATATGTTTACTGGGGGAAAGAAAACTTCTGTCTGAAAGAGAGACAGAAGGGGACCCGAGTGTGTTGTCAAGGAACCTGTTGCATTTTTAAGGGATTTTACAGAGCAAAATCACGAGGTGAAGAGGGCCCAAGGTGAGGAAAAGTGGGAAATCACAAGGTGGCTTGAGGTGGGACAAGACTATGGTCAACCTATAAGATAACAAGTGTAATTGTTCAGGTAAAATGGATTAAATTGGGATCAAATGGGGAAGCAAGATATGTAGCTAGCAAGCGAGCCTGAACACAGAACGGGGCCTTTCCTGTAGGGGGTTGGGTTAGCGACTCTTCCTGGCTTTTTCAAGGTGATTGATACCTAGTTAGAATATCAGTCCCTGATGCCCATCCCTAGGCAGGTCTGTGGCTCCATTTATTTCATCCTTTGTCCTGAGGTCTGGCCCCAAAGTGGAGATGCCTGTCTCTCCCACAGTTGCAAGGTATCTTCTCTTCATACTGCCTCCTTGGGGGGCCCAGCCCTGGCTGACCACCTATACTATTTCTATCTAACTCAGCTGTCTACAGCGGGAACTCCAGCCAGGCCTGGGGAGAGGGGGCTCCAGCGAGAACCAGGCAGCTGAGCAGGGAGCTGAGGACATGGAGGAGTCAGCCTGGTAACACGGCCCCTAGGAAAGAAAGTGGTCGAATTCAGTTGCTTCCTCCACCAAAGAGAAAGAAAGAATCCACGCATCAGGCCATGTCCTCCTCTCTCCTGGGGCTTTGCTGGAGTGGTTCCCTCCGCCTGGACCATTTTCTTTCCTATGGGCCGTGTCTAGCTGAATTAGAGAGAAACATCACAGGCAGTCAGACGGGGCTAGGCCCTCAAGGAGACTCCACAGAAAACAAGACACCTCGCAACTGTGAGAGAGATGGACATTCCCGCTGTGGGCCAGACCTAAAGAGCAAAGATCTAACCAGTGCTGACTTCCCTAAAGATAAGCATCCGGATTGATCATCACCTTGAGGAAGCCAGGAAGGGTCACTAAGTCAACCACTACTGGATAAATTCCTGTTCTGTATTCATGCCCGCTTGCTATGGGACTCGCTTCCCCATTTGGTCCTGGATTGAATCAATGTCACCTGAGCAGTGGTGCTTGTAACCTGTAGGGAGCTGCGTGTAGCCACACCCTAGGATGGCGCAGGTTTCCGCCTTCCACCCCCTCAAGGGGTGAGCGCTCCTGGAGTAAACAACTCCATATATGGCCAAGGCTTGGGCTAATGCATTGCTTCCGCATTCCTAGACCAATGGGCAGTACACACGTGGCACCCCATGGTTGGAAGCCCTGGGACTTATAAACTAAGAGCATGGGCCTCGGGAGAGAGAAGACGGAGAGAAGACGGATGCAAGAGAACAATAAAGAGCTGCGCAGAAAACTAACCAGTGGTCACGTCGTTCTTGCAGGCAAGGCTGCGAGCGACAGTAACCTTATGGGTTGACCATAGTTTTGTCCCACCTCATGCCCACCTAAGCGAGTTCCCATGTTCTCCACCTTAGACCTACCTCACCACATGGTTTTACTCTATGAAAATCTCTGGA